GTAGACAAGTCTACGTGAGGTAAGCAACCAAAACGCATATACATAAAAAAAACGCATATACATATGGTTTTCCAAGGGGGACAAAGGCGCACAGAAAACGACAGAGTACATGTGCGCAGAAGAATAGAACATAGATTTATAGATTAATTAATCTAGAAAATCCCTCGATATCCAAGATTCCATCCTGCATGTACTGTGAAGTTGACAATACCCTGAATGAATATGGTAAAGAAACGATATTCAGCTTACAAAAGATCTCCTTTGTTTTTTTCAGTATTTGAAAGGTTAAAGGGAAAGGAAAGGGATCTAGAAAGGACGAGTCCCCATCTTACCCCAGTGGCGGTACTCAGTACTGAGTGAACCGCTTAACCAATCATATGGACCGTGCGCTTGGAGGAGCCAAAACAAAGAATCATAACTAGTCTACTTGTTACCTTCGTCGCTGCTGTCGTAACAGTCTTGTTTCCCATCCATCACTGATTGCCCATCTATACATTCCCCGCTTATACAGCGGAACTGACCTCTGTCACAAGTCATCGGGATTTCTGGAAATCGCTCTCGCACAAAATATTTGAGAAATGAGCGGAAAACATTCAAGTTCTACCGGTAGGTCTCGTTAGCTTGAGTTGTGGCAAAGTTGTCCTCAAGCGCATTACTGTAGTTGTCGGAGCAGCTGAAGTTGTCATCATTGTCGTAGTAGTCAGTTCGGCTGAGCTTGAAGTAGGTTGATCAGTTGAGCTCGCAGTAGTTTGATCAGTTGAGCTTGGCTCCGGTGTAGAGCATGGCACAAGCTTACATGGCTCTGCAATTTGGAAGATATCCAGCAACGTCTTCAATCTTCTATTACTCTATGGCTCTTAATAACACGAGAGAATCGCTTTTGGGAATTGCCACAAAGCTGCACTAAAGGGTTATAGGTATACATGGTACGTAGACCCTTCTTTGTTTACGTATATAGCACGCATCTATACATAGATCTATCGATAGCGACTGAGGTGATGTAGCGGCAAGTGCCGCACGGTCCGAGAATCGGCTCTCAGAATGTTCGCTCATGTCAGCCAAGCCTTCCATCTCTCCTGGGTCGATTAATTGCTGTCCGAATCGTCTGGTAGTATAGAACAACTGTCTCGTAAAGCGGCTCGTCATTGTATAGCCCAAACCCCGTTCAATTCGCTGGTGAATGGAAGTCGCGTGCGGGGGCGTATCTCAATCATTGTGTATGCTGAGCATTCGATTGTCCCCTTGGGAGAAGGTGAATCTGAAGAAACTTCGTGGGACCTTGTAGAGATGCTGGTCGAAGCAATACGGGACAAGTTCCGACCTATCGATTCTTAGTGGCGAGCCCGTGAGTCCAGGTGCATATCATGGCAAACTCGACGTCATTGTACGTATAAACTCCAAATGGACAGACTTCGAGAATTCTTTCTTACTATGAGAACAACATCTCAATACCGACTCGGACCATCGTTTAGTTAGACCAATAGGTTCAGGCAAAAAAAGGAGTAAGGCTTAAAGGGAAACGGAGAGGACAAACAGCATACCATCCACGATATACATTCTTCGGCGGGAGGCTGAAAGTGCACGCTTTCACTGCAGATTTTTTTTTGCAGGATATGGAAGTATACATACCAATACTAGAGAGTCTTTTCTGTCATCTGAACCGTTGCTGAAAATGCTTCAGGACGAAGGCGAAGCAAATTCCGATGGAGTGGTCATCAATTCTCGGTAATTCGGAAGGGATTAAGTAAGGTGTGATCCCTGGAGCTTGGGTGAGCAATGCTCAACGCTAAACAGTCAAAAACGACTATCGGAAGTGTGCGGCACAGCACAACGTGAGAAGCAGCTGAGAAGTCAACATGTCAACAGGCTTCAAAACAAAATTTATCATCACACGTCCTAAGCCCCTGTTGAGAATTTGACGAAAGCAGATGGGTCTATAGTTCGAAGTATTTCTAAATCTGTTTCTCGAAAAAAAAAAGTGGAATTCGTTGCAGTGAAGTGCAGTCGTTTGCCATATCATTCGAATACAACAACGACGCTCTCCAAGCCTAAAAGTGGGAACTCCTGAAGCGCAGACGGCAAACGAAAAGTGGCAGAGCTCGAAAGATCACGTTGGAGCAGAATACTTGAAATACCTTCAAGACCACTTTTTAGGAACTGTCACAAAGATTCGGTCAAGCTCGGACCAGGAAAAGAAGAAAAAGAAGAAAAATAGGTCTGCTCAAATTCTCCCACGCTACATCCCTACGTTGCACCTGGTTTCCAGTGAATGGTTTCTCACTATCGAGCAAATCCATGTGGTTTCACGACTAACAGAATGATGTCAATAACACCGAATCCCTTTAAGGAAATATTTAGCGATTCTGAGAAGCTTCTGTTGGAGTTGAATATGAAGCAAATTCAAGTCCGGCACAATATGTTGAGACAGTATGACATCGTAACACGAACTACTGTGCTGATATTGAACTACTCAAGGATCCGATCTTGGGTGCAAGGAAGCGTAGTTATTTCTTTAAATCTATTCACTACTACAGGCACCTATTGAAGACGGCAAAAGACAACGGTACCCTATGTTTGAGGACGATAAGTGCTCATCAGTGTTATCCCTAGTGCACTTAAGAGCTCTTCAGTCATCTTAAGCAGCGCTTTTTGCCTAAATAGACTTGTAATTCATCCGCGAAGGAATAGGTAAATGAGCAAGGACTCTTCCACTCGACTGTGCGAACCATCCAAAACCCGGCACCTTTCGCCAGCGCCACCTGGCTGGATGCCTTCTTTTATCCGCTGATGGTCATTTTTGTCATCAGTGATTGGACAACAACAGTTCCAATCAATTACCTTATATTAGCGGGTCCGAAGAACATAGGGTTATTAATTAGCAGCAATATAATTGCCCTATGTTTGCCTTATGCAACGTCCTCAATAAATAAATAAATAAGTATTTGCTGGAAGTATTGCTCACCATTCAACGATCAACATTAGTACAACCGCTTTTTACAGGAGGTACAAGATTTCAAACTAATTCGAACATTTTTTGCAAGTTCAGTTCGGAGAAAAGACTCCCTACATAAGCAGTACTGTACCTACAGCGAGTCAATCCAAATTGACATTTTGCCACATAGGCCCGTCAAAAAATAGCAGCGCAGGCCTGTTTTCAGAGTGCCCACCCATCGCACTACCAACAAGTCCTATCTTATGATTACTATCAATGATTCGCTTAATGGCACGGCTCACGACACAAAAGGTTACCGAGTGCTTTCTTTAGGAATACTCAGCGCCCCTCATGGGTGGTAGAAGGGACTCTCTCGCTCCCACAATCTCGGCGCTTAGGGCATAGTGGAAGCCCCGTTGCTGCCATAGTTCGCTTTCCCGCCCCTCAATCGTTGTCACGTTAGACGAGTGTCGAGACAATACAGATTGCTATTATTCGCTCTAGGACCCACGCACAATAAGCTAATCGCCGAGTGATGAGGCGATGTTTTTCTCCCACTCTTTTTTCCTCTGTTTTTCTTTTTGCTGCCGCGATCCCTTATTCAATTTCCTCTCCTAGAGGCTGAAAAAGGTGAGCTACTTTTGCTTTACTAAGGTTTTTTTGTTTAATGTTTTCCATTGCCTGTTATTCGCACCAGGATCCACACGCGCGCAGTGAAACACACTGTTTAGCTTGTCCGGACGCCCCACTCTTCTTCATTTTTCTGGTTTCATTCACGTCCTGCCCCTTTTTAACGGTTTTTCGAAGCCTTTTTTCACTTTGGAAACACCGATGCACGCAGTTTCTTCACCTTCATCGCACTATTTCCAGTCTTGTCTTCCATTTTTCATCATAATCTGGGTTACCCAAAATTATCGTGAACTGTGCCTTTTAAGGGGAATGGTCGAACTCTTCAGTGTCTATATTACTGATTTAGGATTTATCCTTTAGGAGTAAAGAGGAAAAAACTATTCTATTCGAGTATCACATTCCTAAAGATCACCAACCTTCATCACTTCCATCTCCGCAATCGTCCTTGCCATCCATAATCCATGTTTTTAGGACACAGTTAGAAGTTGTCGCACAATGGATCGCCCCTGGTAGTCCACACAGCTTTTGCCCTAAACTCTTCGGCTCATACATTCATTTTCTGAACTTAAAGTTTCACTTACATTTGTGTTCATGGCATCGTGGATAAGTTTCCTTGACCCGAATGCATCTTCCGCACGGACCCTTCAAGCGCGTCTCGCACAGTGGTCTTCCGTAGTTGCATACTGAAACCCGGATAGATCTTCAGAACTTCCAGCTCCCTCATCAAAAGTTAATGAGGTCGTTTCTTCCAAGTCCAGATGTTATAAATAATTATCACTCAAAAAGTAAAACTCTTTCTACTCTCAAAAAAATCACAACGTAATTATTTGTTTCACTACTTCTGCTAGTTGTAAAAGTTGGCCCTGAAAGTAGCTGCGCAAAAATTACTGAATACACAGTACACACTAAGAGGATAGAAGCAAATTCTTCGGCGCTGGTCAATCCTGTCTAAAGGATACGCCCCGTGTTCGACTTCAATTCAGAATCGTAGTGGCGTAGTGAATGCGTATTTGGCCCATTCAATAAATTGCAGTGACCAGCCGATCTACAAGTTAAGACAATTATGGAAAAAATGAAGCTACTACAGAAGGATGGAGGATTTGGGTGGATTTGCTGGGCGTCGAGCAGTGATTAAAACCCGTGACCATGCGTGTATGGTAGTGCGTTACTTGACACTGCACCACCGCCGCCTACAGTGCACCCTCTATTTACACAAAACTCAGTTGGGGAATTCAATATATGCACTTCAAAATCTTCTATTGCGACATTTGAAAGGAAGCTACATAAGTTTATCACCCACAAAAGTTCATCAGTTTATCAATATATAATAGAAGAAGTATGCTGGGATGGACTCGGACGTCATGAGTTGTGCCCATATTTGCTTTGTTACAGGGTTGTAGGTGAATGATCTTATCTAACCTCGGCCTCGGTGTTGAAGTAGTGAACTTGAAATCGGCAGAACCTTGTGGGCCATCGGGACCCTTGCCCTAACACCTTTGGCGCACTATACTTTTCCTAGAGTGAATGAAGTCAAGCGAAGGAGTGATGGAGTCCTCGTGCTGAGGGTTTCGTCTCGATCGTTCGGTGGAAGCGGTTTATTGTGCCAAAAGCATGGTATAACACTTTTCAGCGCTTATATATGTGATTAAATATTGTAGATGTTACATATGCATCCACAGGTGTTCAAATAAGAAGAGCTCATGTGACGGGATAAAAACGAAGGGAACGCTACCAAATGGGTATATGATTACAGTATACAAACGATAAGAAATGGAAAAATTAGAAAGGTCGTGGTCTGTCACGGCAGGTGTTTCAGTTGAAAAGAATTCAATTTCAATTGAGTTAGTCTGCAAGCTTGCCGTCTTAACATCTCATTTTCAAAATCATCCATCGTATATTCAGAGAGATATCTGTATTTGCAGCCTACCGACTAAGTCCAACAAAGAAAGTACATGTTTTTGGACCAGCTCCTAGCCCGGGACCTTACAATCATATGAAATAGTACCTATTGATTGAAAACTCCTCCAAATTCTTTCAAATGTTTTCTCACCTCGAAAATCCGTCGCCCTGGATGACCTCAACAATGCCGCCATATAGATAATTAGCAGCCTATAATTGCAGAAATGTTACGGAGAATTGCCAAGGTGAACAGTTCGCTGACCGTTCGATTAAGCAGGCCTGGAGCAGCAGTTGAAGCATTATGTTTCATTCGAGCTGAAAGGTAGAAGCTTGAATTCAAAGCTCAGAACACGTATGAATGGAGCGTCGCCAGGAAAACGGCGAGGCCCAAACAATGGTCAAATTGCCTCTTTCCAAACCACACACTTCCTCTCGCGGCTCAAAAACGTCTAGGGAAAAAGTTAATGGGTAGGCGAAACAGTTAAACGAAAAAGCAATCGAAAGAGATTTGAGAAACCCCCGTACAACTCCATCTATCACTCCTCGAACTTTCATGCATCAAAATATCTCACAGACAATTGCCACTAGCTCCCTATAAGAACCCACCCATGGAGCGGCAGAATACATGTGGCCTGGATAAAAGAGTTCGAGAAAAAAGTCGAGAATAAGAAAATGGGTCTAAAAAATAGGCATATGGAAGTTGATTGGGCCGACTCCTTTTACTCTGACTGAAAAGTCTTTGGTGGATTGCGTTACCATATTCTAAAAAAAAGCCGCTAAGAGGCATATACAGGTAAATCAACTAAATAGAGTTAAAATCGTTTGCGTTTCATGGACACTTCCTGCAAATCATAACTAATTCTCAATATGAAGAGGCTTGAGTTGACGCAGACGTTGGCTGAACCCTTCTGAAAGGAGAAAAATTGAACTAAGATAAAATATCAAAGACTTCCAACTACAATAGAAAGATAGCAACAGCTATTGGCAAGGGTTTGAAAGGCTTCTCGACTTTGAATTGATGGTCTGTGCTTTTAGAACCCCATTGCGATGTTCATGAATTCCTAGAAACGTTTCTATAAGTTCAGAAAGAAATGACGAGGTTGCACTTTTCTTTTTTTTACCTGGAAGCGCAACGTGGACATGGCTGCAAAGTCACCTCAATCTGGTGTCATTCCAAAGCGCCCTACATATTGCCACTCACTTATATACCCCTTATTGCGAACAGATGGCAATTTAATTGCTTTTTCTTTTCAGTCATTAAGTTTCCTTCACAATCAGAAGCCGCATATTGTGTTTGGACCTATCCAGCATTCCCTCGAGCCCACACCTCATTAAAGAACAAATCCTGTTTGATTCAATGGTCGTCATTGAAACATTGTAAGTGGTAGTCCAGCATAGTGCAAACAACGAACGAAAATTGGCGTGTCTAAAGAATTGTAAGACTTCAACAGAGCAGTAAATTAGGGTTTATGCGAAGAGAACAAAAGCTGCATAGAAAGGTTATTTGGACGAGCTTTCCAAATGTGTGTGTGTGTCAATGAGTAAAGCTGCTTCACTAAGCCGCTTGAGTACATCATGTAAGTCCTAGTGCTAACGCTGCAACCTCTACAGCGTCGTGAAAACTCGTCTACCTCTGGATGTGCACGTCTGCTGGGCCGGTTTTGGGCCCTTATTACGGCCTATCTAGGCCGTTTTTCCAAAGCGATAGAATTCCTTCTGCTATCCGTGAAGGTCACACAGGTTCATTTTGGGGAGAAACTTCAGAAACCGTTCACCGTTCAAGGAACCTTTATGAGCTCAAACGATCTAACTTTGCCAAAAGTTAACTAGGAGGAATGAGAGAGCTTGTCAAGTACATTTTACTTCCATGATAGGTTAAATGTTCAGATCTACCAGATTGATGAAAGAGCGCTGTGAAAGAAGGCTATGCAACAAAATAGTTAAGAAAACTATGCTCATCGTCATGTTGAAAACCAACAGCACCCGAAACCTTTACTAATAATTGGCCATCTTCACTCGCTATTGAAGTTGAGGCTGTGAAATTTCGTTTACAAAATTTCCTTATTTTGCAAAATCACGATTTTTCGAGAACTTAGAGAAGAACTCGGTATTAAGACAGAGCTATTAACTGTATTCAGAGTTGCAATGAAGGGTATCGAGGGAAGACAGGAAAATTTTTTATAACTCCTGAAGAGTAGGCTCACAAACATCATGAAGTGAAAAAATGGGATATTTCAAGTGGAGAAGGTCTCTTCATTAAAATACCCTCAAAAGGAAACCCCAACCAGTAGGATGTTACTTCGATGGCTCAAATGGCAATCATTGATGTCAGGAGCACTCCTTAGTAGCGCGCTGAGAACAATGATTGCGGGAGAACTCAAGAGGAAGGTTGTCATAGGACTTCGAAAAAAGTTACGAGGCCATGGCGATTGAAAGGCGTTCTGAACAAGGTAGCGCAAGTGATGGATTTCCTCTTTCCATCCAAGCCGACGTTTGAAGTAATTGCTCCACTATTCTGTCAGCAGGAAAGTCGTTCCCAGAGGTATGGAGAGAATACTTATTCCCGTGTTTTCTAAAACATCACTAGTGAAGAAGCAAACGAGTAAAAAGGGTTCCAAAAAGCAGAATACAATGTTAGTTATGAGTGCCCCCTTGTCAGAAGCTCCACTTTGTCCTGTCACATTCGACTTAATCATTTTCTGCGCTATACCCTTTTGAAGAGGATTTCTTTAAAACATATATTTACTTATTTAGTATATGCCAAGCATGTGTAGATGCCAAATGGCTACAGAGACAAAATCACAGCAAAAGTCACACAAAAGCTAGTTATAGTTAGTTAGATATAGTTAAAATTAAAATCTGCTAGAGCTCTTTGGAGTACTTTGCTAAGATGGGCTTTAGAGGCACGGTTCACGATAAAAAAGGTTACTGAGTTCTTCCTTTAGGAATACTCAGCGCCCCCATGGGTTGTAGAAGGGACCCTCTCGCTCCCACAATCTCGGCGCTTGGGGCATAGTGGAAGCCCTGTTGCTGTCG